CTGGTTCCATCAAACCTCTTGAACAAATGAAATAATGAAATGATCATTTATAGACACACGTGTAATAGTATCATCGAACGTTTGAACCAATACAGATAGGGTGACACCTGTACGTGTAGGGTGAGTGAGGTTGAAATCGATAACGATTTGTATGCATAATTGTTACATTTCAGTTAATCAATACACGGATATGATGACAACTAAAAAATATTGATTGTAGATTTACATTTTACGAAGAAAAGGAAAGGACAAATTGTCAAGCAATGTAACACTTCAGAGTGCGATGAACTAAATTGGATAGTATGGCTCTATGAGTTGTTTGATTGGTAACCGTCTCTTACGACAAGCATGGGTTGCTGAAAATCAATTCTAAACCGGTCTTCAAAGATCGTCCTCTGGTACTTCAAGTTTTCAGAAATGCATAAGAGTGAGTGAGTTTAGTTTTACGCTGCACTCGGCAATATTCCAGCTATATAGCGGCGGTCTGTAAATGATCGAGCCTGGACCAGGCAATCAAATGATCAGCAGTATGAACATCGATCTACGCAACTGGGATACTATGACATGTGTCAACTATATTAGCGAGCCTAACCACCCGATCCCGTTAGTCCCCTCTTACGACAAGCATGGGTTACTGAAGACCAATTCCAACCCGGATACAGTGATAACAAAATAAAAATATCTTACGTATAATCGGTTTATTTTCATAAACAGTTCTACAGAAAAGGTGCTTTAAGGAAGCATATGGACGTGGACACCAACCAAAGCCAAACTGACAGCATATACACAGATAAATTCACAAATTGCCAGGGTGATGTAAACAGAGTTATATGTCAACAAGGGTATGGGCACTGTAACGGATACAACTAGTGTGACATGTAAGGTGAGTGAGGATGAAATGGATACCTATTTGTACGCATTATTGCTGGAAGCGTCATATATATACTCTCCCAAAAAAGAAACGCATATCTGAATTTCAACTGTATTTTTATGTTTATTTTGAAACATCTTGTAGGCTTTATGAGTCAATGAAATATAGCGCAATTGCACACTGGGAATGCAGACTTACCCGTCTTTGGCACCAACTCGAGGAAAGTCAGTTTGAGTGTCACATGGAGACGTGTGGTGGCGCTGAAGTCAATACCTCGTGTGACCACCGTGGGCATCCAGAACTGCACGGCATCGCCTCGGCATCGAACGAATAAGTCTCAGAATCTCGTGTTGCCCAATCGCAGCCCACTCTGCCTGTAGTGCCTGTGCGAGTTGCTGAAGTGTCTGGGGCTGAGGGTTACGGCGTCGCACCCGTCTGTCCAGGGCATCCCACAGATGTTCGATCGGGTTTAAGTCCGGTGATCTTGAGGGCCAGGGAGCACATTGATGTTGTGGTTCTGGAGAAAGTCTCCAGTGTGACGTGCTGTGTGGGGCCTGGCATTGTCCTGTTGAAACAACTCCCTCTGGCGATCAATGTTTGGAAGGAGGTGTGGGCGTAGGATTTCGTCACAGTACCGTTGAGCTGTCAGGTTGCCCTGGATCATCACCAAATCACTTCTCCTACAGCAGGTGATCCCCCCCCCACACACACATCATAACACTGTCCCGGCCGAATCTGTCCACCTGGGGAACGCAAGCGTCGGCGAAACGTTCACGTCGACGTCTGTACACCCGCATTCTTCCATCGCGTCGTTCCAATAGAAATCGTGATTCATCACTGAACCAGATTCTACGCCGATTCGTTAGGTTCCAGGCCTGAACGTTGGTGCACCATTGAACTCGATGTCGACGATGTTGTTGTCGAAGCACAGGGCCAAAATAAGGTCTTCTGGCACGTAAACCAGCCTCTCTCAACCTGTTCCTGACGGCCTGGGCAGAAAGCCTCCTCAATCCGGGTATTTGTCGAGCGGTACTGGTCGCCGTAGCTGTTCGATGACGCAGGTGATGTATCCTGCGCCGCAGTGGTCGCTCGAGGTCGCCGACTACGAGGGGCATCTGCTACAACATTCTGCCGGCGATATCTCTCCCAGAGCCGTGAAATGGTGCTTTGGTGAACATTCATGCGTCGGGCAACTGCACGTTGAGACTGGCCAGCTTCAAGCAAACCAATGGCGATATGACAGTTGGCTTCACTTAGACGTGGCATTTTGCGTTCGTCAACAATATTCCAAATACAGTGAATAATCGACAGCGATCAACCTTTTATACCCATCATTGAGACTATCTGAATTGTGTATTCTGTGACACTACACGCCGAAATTGAAAATCATGCTGTTAAATACGGGTATTGTACGGATGGTCCCTTTGTTGTGATGTTTCAAAACATGAACACCATAGTACTCATAAACAGAGCAAAACCTTTTGTAACATGAATCACGTTTTAATTTATTGCTACATGAAATTGCTATTTTCATGATGCGTTTCTTTTTGGGGAGAGTATACTTAGTTAATCGATATATATGAAGACAACAGACAAATATTGATTATAGATTATTTACAGTTCACACACAGTGTTCAGTAATGAGTTGAAACAATTGATCATAATGAACGGTATTATGTGTATGATCGATAAAAATCGATTCCGCTGAACTATAACCGATATTTTTCGCCAACAGCATCAGTGGGATGCATTATGTCAAAATCAGTAATTAATCAAACCCAATCTTCGTATGATCGCAGTGATACAGTTAATATAGATAGTTTTTCCATTCCATCAGTAATCACCCTTTACTTGTGAACATGTATTATGTTGGGTCAGTATCTTGAATATCAGTAATCACCGTTTACCTGTGCACAAGTAGGATGTTGAGATAGTGTTATGTGTATCAGTAATTGCCGTTGACCCCTATAGATGTATGGTGTTGGGATAGTGTCTTGTAAATCAGCAATCACTGTTTACCCATGTACATGTATGGTGTTGGGATAGTGTCTTGTATATCAGTAATCACTGTTTACCCATGTACATGTATGGTGTTGGGATACAAGTCAAAACATTGATAATACAACAGTGTCGTTTCCTGCTGGCTGGGTTCCGTCCTATTGCGCAACTTAGTACAATAACCAGTCCAGAATTTTGAGACCAATTCATTCAACTGGATGCATAAATATTTATCAGTATTATTTGATACATCTAAGCACTTGTATATTGCAACACTACGCTCCTTCTAATCCTTGCAAACATGTCGTGCAGCATGCTCTGTCGTACAACGAGCTCTGACAAACAGAAATCTGGAAATCGTGGAAATCTCAAAACGAGGCTCTGCCGCTAGAAACGTTTGGCGTTCTTGTACGGACTTGATATTATATCAATCACATTATGCGTTACAAAACTACATTGAATAAGCGCACAAAACACATATCAGGTGTAACCAGTGAGCCAGATGACTTGTGAATCATTTTACGACCTCATTAAAAAGGGGCAGTCTGTGACGTCTTAGTTAAGGTCATGCTGCCTACACCTCGACATAAAATATAGAAATACGATGTTATTAGTTTAAAATTAAAATTTATTTGTAAATGCCATTTTCTTATAAAACAAAGAATTGAAATTCAGTGTAACCATAGTTGTTGGTTGTGGTGTCTCCTTTCACTTTCACACGAGAAAATTCGGATCGGCTGAAAAGTAGGTCATTGTCTGAATAGGTTAATGAGACACATGATTCGGTTTGTGTCTTGTATTTCAGTAATCACCGTTTACCCATGTACATGTGTGGTGTTGGGATAGTGTTTTGTAAATCAGTAATCACCGTTTACCCATGTACATGTGTGGTGTTGGGATAGTGTCTTGTAGATCAGTAATCACTGTTTACCCATATACATGTAAGACATTGAGATAGTGTATTGTAGATCAGTAATCACCGTTTGCCCATGTACATGTATGGTGTTGGGATAGTATCTTGTATGTCAGTAATATCACCGTTTATCCATGAATACTAGTATGTAGGATGTTGAGACAGTGTCTTGTTTTGCTTACCCATGTACATGTAGAATGTTAAGATAGTGTGATTAGCACTTTGCATGTCAGTTATCGACGCATGAACAGAAATTGTTTCCCATGTCTGCGGTGTGGAGGTTCCAGCTGGGATCTGAGACAGCGTCAGAGGGGTCGTAGGACTCGAGAAGTTGACACTCATCAGAAGAGGGGGAGAAGTTGAAGCCGACACAATCATACCTCCCACGACATGCATCTGCACACTGAAGTTTGGTCGAGTTCATCGTCAGCAGAGCGTTAACAGCTGAGACCTTGGTGGCTGCCTGTTGTACAAACTTGATGTCTGAAAACATAAAGCTACGTGATAATTTATAGACAATAGGTGTTAAAATATATCTGCACAAAAACTCGTTAAACACTTTTAGGGACAATAAATAAGTTTTCATCGTTTACCATTTTTACCTATTAATGATTGTAATTGTAAAGCATTATGGCATCTCATACAACCGTTATCCCGTTACATGAACGCCATTTTAGTGCTCATTTCTGTTTGTGTCTTGGTGAGTAGGTTCTACATTTAAGGTGATCTGTCATTTATTTATAATAACACGGTATGATGTTGACAAACAAAATGATCATGGATTGATATAAATTGGCATTCTAACCCATGATTAGCGGATCCTGCCCATCTAAGGGAAGGAAATGTGACGTCATCAAAATTACATGAAAGGCATACAACTGGAGGCGTTTTTAAATTTGCCCACTTTCGGAACCCCAATAGGGGCAGTGGGATAGTTTAGTGGTTTCATCGCTCAGTCGTCACGCTGAAGACCAGGGTTCGATTCCCCACATGGGTACAATGTGTGAAGCCCATTCCTGGTGTCTTCCTGAACTACTGGTAAAAAGTGACGTTAAAAATGACTGAACAGACTTAGATGAATATCTGAACTAGAGTTGTCAGAAAGCTTACTCTTAGCGGGCCCCATGATTTCAACTTCACACAGCGCCAGCATATCCGTCGAGACGACCCATGGTACCTGTATCCTGAGGTAACGTCCCGTCAACGGCTCCTCACAGGGTACAGTCAGGATGGCACTGCTGGCTACACTTCCGTTATAGTGCTTACAGACGTTGCGGAACTCCATGGTGACGTCGTCAGAGACGAGGATGTCAAAGTCGTGGAGACGTTCACCTTTTAACAACACAATATCTGAATGAAAAAAACTGGTCTGACGCTGCCTTGAACATTATTTCAGTTTGGTATGTGAGGAACGCCCTCACACGTTTACCGTTATACTGAAAACCATCGGCACGGGTATGGTGCCCTCAGCATCTAGAAACAACCAGGGCGGTTCTGGGATGCGACCAATTGGTTTCTGGCACAGATAGGGACACAACACTCCATAGTGCTTCAGGAAGTTATTTTGTCCCCAAACCCTCCCCAAATAAAAGAAAAGAAAAGAAATACAAGAAAAAATCGCCGATTGTTTGTAAGTGGTATTTGTCTTCACGCTTGTTGAGTTTTGGGTTCATTGGCCAGCGCTCCTTACCATGTATATATATAAAAATGCTATTCTGCGCGTTCCTAATACTATACCCTCCCAAAATGAAACGCATAGGTGATATTGAAAGATGAAATTTCAAATACATTTCGAAATGAGAGTTTGATTGTTATAATTTCGCCATTATAATGCTGGTATTTGTACATGGAACGAATGCACAGCCCAAAAATGTATCTTCGGAAACTTTGTTTACGTCAGAAGGTTTCAGCTTGCATGAAAATGTTATGGAGAAAACGTTCTTCGCAATGTGCTCGTGCAGTTCTGAGGAATCTTGAGCAGGGATATTGCCTACACAAGGCCGTTTTGGTTTTTGACGGTCATTGGCATTTTTTGCTTTATGAAAGAATATCGTTATGCCGCTACTCACTGGTGTAAACCGAAACATTGTCATTGGACGTCTTGAGCCTGGGGAGTCTTAATCTGTCATTGCACATCACCCCAATGTTCACCAGAGTACCATCAGTTTTGTATGGGACCGATATCAACAAACCAATTCTACGAAATGTCTGCCTCGAAGTGGTAGAACTCGGATTACCACTGCAGCGCAGGATAGGTACATCCGGGTACTTAATGTGCGGAATCGAACTGTCACAGTAACTGCAACTGTAAGTGCAGTGCCTGGTTTGAGAAGAGTGAGAAGGAAACCATTTACGAGAAGATGGACTACGGGCCAGAATACCCTATTTTGGCACTACGCTGCGTCGACTACATCGACGTCGACGGGTCCAGTGATGCAATAACGTTCGATTCCGGAATCTACAAAACTGGCAACGTGTATGGTTCAGTGACACATCGCGCTTTCTGCTTCAGTACCGTGAGATTTCCCCAGAATTGTGTTGCCCAGGTTGACCGATATGGTGGTGGAAGTGTCGTGATATGGGGAGCCATATCCTAAATCTAACTTTGTGCGACTGTTATTCTTGACAGAGACGAAATCTTAGGGATTCATTTAGGGGTTCCGAACATTGACCGCCTGAGGGAATTGTTCCAGCAAGATAATGCCAGGCCTCGCACAACACATGCTGGGAGTGGTGTGTGTGTGTGTGTGTGTGTGTGTGTGTGTGTGTGTGTGTGTGTGTGTGTGTGTGTGTGTGTGTGTGTGTGTGTGTGTGTGTGTGTGTGTGTGTGTGTGTGTGTGTGTGTGTGTGTGTGTGTGTGTGTGTGTGTGTGTGTGTGTGTGTGTCATGGTGGCCACAACAGATATTGAAGACAACGCCCCTACTGGGAACGGAAGCCTTCACTTGCTGAACATTTTATAAGCCATACATGTCAACAAGCATTTGATCTTTTGAACTGTGAATTTTGGATGCAACTGTCCCAGAATTAGTAAACTCTCTTTCGCAGATTAAATTCGTGAAAATACATCTCTGCGTTTCTTTTTGGGGAGAGTATATTAAATGCTGACAATTTATGAAAGGTTCGTATCACTCAATCACTCAAAACTACTAAAAGAGAACTTTAATATGGATGCCAGAATAGTCTCAAATAATTTCGGCTTTGTAAGGATCCATTAAATGCACCAAGCAACTGAATAAATTCCATATTTCTTTGCAATTTAACATCTATACAGGAACAACGATAAATTGACATCACTACCATTATTGTACCATTTTCAATATGGAACCAGATTTTTGGCATGGCAAACACATTATATAATGTTCTGATGGGTGGATATAATCTTTAATCGACCGGTATTGTGGCACACACTCGACATTGCTCAAAGTCTAATTTATGACAATGAGAGTGAACGCCGTTTTTCTTTACATATGCGGCAGATAGGACACGTGAACAGGGTAGTTATCTCCCTTGATCAGATAGTTCCATAGATCGGACGCCCTCACATCTCGAATCTATCTGAACCCACTCTTGCGAGTAGAGGAGTGAGTACCTTTAACCGTTCACGACAGTAGGGGTTGGCGGGGTAGCCTAGTGGTTAAAGCGTCCGCTCGTCACGCCGAAGACCCGGGTTAGATTGCCCACATAGGTACACTGTGTGAAGCCCATTGCTGGTGTCCCCCGCCATGATATTGCTGGAATATTTCCAAAAGCAGCGTAAAACCATACTCACTTACTACAATCAGGAGGACACAGAAAACTTACCCAAACTGTCTCTGTTGGTGATGATGACCGCCATCACCTGTAGAGAACACTCCAGGTCCACCTGCCACCACAGGTGGGACTCGAAGGGGATCCCATGCGCTGTTCCCGAGCAGTAGCCAATGTATGAAGCTGTACTGCCGTCCACTGCGTTCTCAGGGTGCGATACTCCGTACAGCGTTATTTGGCTGGCTGGTCTGTTGAGTGCTAAGTTGACGCAGGTCACTGAAACATGGCCACAGGAACATCAGTGTGAGTCAGTTAGACAGGTACCCGTGAAGGTCGGGGTTAGATTTAGTTTTCAGCAACCTATACCTGTGGGAAGATGCTTCTAACACGATCGGGTGGTCAGCTTTGCTGACTTGGTTGACACATGCCATCGTATCCCAATTGCGCAGATCGATGCTCATGCGGTTGATCACTGGATTATCTGGTCCAGACTCGAGTATTTACAGACCGCCGCCATATAGCTGGAATATTGCTGAGTGCGGCGTAAAACAAGAAACAAACATACAAAAGAAAAAACAGTTTAGAGAGGCAAGTAGGTCACATACACACGTCAGCATTAACAAGAACACCTGAATCCGAGTGAATTATATAAATATTTTTGTATACTGGAATGCACATGTAAATGACGTACTTCACACAATATCGCAAAAGCTATGGGTCGCCTGTTCTCGTGCTGCGAATACGCCAAGGATATTGCGGCGTAAATTTCATACTTGCAGCATGTGAGCTACAGTAGGACAACTATTAAACTTGACTTTACTTGACATGGCAAGACGCTATGTCATACATGACGCTGGCATGTCCTGTTGCAATATCGGTGCTCACCAGAACATTAACCACACGGTTAATTGTCGACTTGTGGCCACAGGTGAAGTAAAGAACAGTGAGAGAGTGAGTATGGTTTTACGCCGCTTTTAGCAATATTACAGCAATATCACGGCAGGGGACACCAGAAATGGGCTTCACACATTGTGTGGGGAATCGAACCCTGGTCTGTGGCGTGACGAGCCGGGACGTAGCTACCATAATAAAAAACCCGGGCTTACACATGATTGTTGCTAAAAAGTCTGGGCAAGCCCTCAATACTATCTAAATAAGAAGCTTTGTAACCTATCGGGCTTACACGAAAAAATTGGCTTGCTTCGCGCCTGCGAGCGAATGCTTTAACCAGTAGGCAGACCGAGGAAGACCAATGTCCATGATGACCTAGTCTGAAATGTTCTGGCAAGGTGCAATCTGATGAACTGCGCCGGCAGTGGAGAGCGGGAATCCGAAGGAGGATGTGGACCACTGTTCCGAGGGAACGTACCCGTGAAGGTCCGGGTTAGATTACTCATCTTCAGTAACCCATGCTTGTCGTAAGCGGCGACTAACGGGATCGGGTGGTCAGGCTCGCTAGCTTGGTTGACACATGTCATCGAATCCCAATTGCGTAGATCGATGCTCATGATGTTGACCGCTGGATTGTCTGGTCCAGACTAAATTATTTACACATCGTTGCCATATAGCTGGAATATTTCTGAGTGCGGCGTTAAACAACAAACGAACAAACAACCAGAAGGCTGTATTGTTGGGGACATCCTTCGAAAAGTTCTTGGAGGGTTCGACAAGGTAGTACTTCCTGGGAGAAGTCCCATTCGTTGTCTTAGTTGTGTGTAGAGGGCTCTTAGCTGATGATGATCCTGACCAACCTCTGTTTTCCAGGATCACCCGAAACCCTCCTTACTGCGTTTATTTATCTTAATCTGTAATAATTATGATAATCATAATCTTAATACAAAAATCGAAACATTAATAATAAAACTTACCTGTCGGTAGGCAGCATAATCCGAAAACTACAAAAACAACGGAAACAATCTTTAAATATTTGGGCAGTAAAATCTTCTGAGACATTCTCGGCTCAGATCGTATGCTTCACTCAGACATCGCCTTTATAGCACAAGCCAGTGATATACTGACATCAGTACTCCGAAGTAGCCATGACACACCTAACTGGGGTCGCACCTAACTGGTGTATATATGGTAAGGAAGGTTATAGTGAACCACGGCCCCGAGTCAAACATCGATGTATGACGATCAAATATTGATTGTAGGAAAATAATTATGGCCAGTAAAACCTTCATTAGTGAGATCTAACGATTTGTTAAACAACAAGTGTTCAAATTTCACAAAAATGTGCTATGGGTAAAAATCACTCAGTGCTCACGTGTTATATCACTGAAACTAATCGAAGGCTGTTTTGAATCGTGCCGTGTGTGTGTTCACTTTTCGGTTCCCTGTTTTCAGACAGTATAGATTACCAATAGAGTAGTATTGGGTCATCTGATTACGAGTGAGTGAGTTTATTTTTACGCTGCACAGCTATATGGCGGCGGTCTGTAAATAATCGAGTCTGGACCAGACAATCCAGTGATCAACAGCATGAGCATCGATTTATGCATTTGGGATACGATGACATGTGACAACCCAGTCAGCGAGCCTGACCGCCCGATCCCGTTAGTCTTACGACAAGCATGGGTTACTGAAGATAAATTCTAACCCGGATGTTCACTGGTAGAGCACGTGTCATAGTGGCCCGACAAATACCCTTCCCAGGCCGTTATGTATTTTTTCATTCCAAAAGATTATATGTTTTAGAATATGAATATTAATGCTATTTGTATTTTGGTATGGTTTGTGAATGTGAGCTTTCGAAAATAGAAAATGAACGAAAAAAATACAACTATATCAAACTATATACTGGACAGGCTGCTAAAGACATCTGTTTAAACACTGCATCTGATGACAACGTTCTATTACCCAGATATTGTTGTATATGATCCATAACCTTTGTCAAGCCCAAGAACACGGGGGACAATACGTATGTTTGCCCAGTTTGGAATGTGATCAGGTGTCGTGAATAAACTATTCATAATCAGTCAATCAATCAATCAGTCTATGTGTATTTTTTATATTTATATGCTTACATACTGGGGTATTTTATTCATATAACGATCGACAATAACTTTCTAAGGAACAAGGAAGGTATACGCAACATATGTTTAATTAAACTGCTGTATGATGTTGAAATTTTGCGGAAAGATTTAACTAGAGTTAATGCAGTTATTTTTATATACAATTACATTTAACAGTCACTTAGGAATTTTCTTAACTCACTCACTCACTTCAGAATAGCTACTCATTTGTGAGTGAATGTTTGTGTTTAAACATTTGCTGCGGTTGGTACATTTTGGGGTATGTAGATAGGTTCATATGCATATACACGCACACACGCGTTCACGCACGCACGCACGCTGCACTACGCACGAAGCATGACGCATCACGCAGAATTTCTTCGAGAGATGTATATTATAACATTTAGCATCAATTTTGGAATTACATTACATGCGTTCGAATATCAAAATCTAGGTGACCTCACTCAACCACATTTTTGACAAGCAGGGTTGACAGGATCCAGGCTTTAATTAAGGCTTGCCTTTGAATTCGAAAGAACGGACGACCCGGCTGCACCGATCAAGGCCAAACCTGATTAAGGTCAAACTTCAGAAGATCTAGTTCAACCATAACTGTTTAACTTCAAGGATGCAGTGCTTTCGTAATCGATCATAAAGGTAATTATTTTTATTTAATAATTCCATCAGCAATAAACGCATTTTCATGATATATGGCCCACTTCTGTAGATTTAAATTGCCCATAATTACTGAACCTCGCGTCATCGATAAAGCCAATTAGTCTCACTAAAAACACTTTTAATGAATACTGCTAACCGGGTATTGATAGTATACATTATACATGTATTTTGATATACGCCATGGTGACTTAACTTTTCGATTCTTGATGTAAGTACTTTAGCATCAATAATGCATCTTTCATGATGATTTTGATGTTTTACGCGATATTTTAAACCTTCATGTCATTTACATTTTACGAAGAAAAGGAAAGGACAAATTGTCAAGCAATGTAACACTTCAGATTGCGATATAAAAGATTGGATAGTATGGCTCTTTGAGTTGTTTAATTCGTAACCGTCTCTTACGACAAGCATGGGTTGCTGAAAATCAATTCTAAACCGGTCTTCAAAGATCGTCCTCTGGTACTCCAAGTTATCAGAAATGAATAAGAGTGAGTGAGTTTAGTTTTATGCCGCACTCAGCAATATTCCATCTATATGGCGGCAGTCTGTAAATGATCGAGTCTCGGATACTATGACATGTGTCAACTATTTCAGCGAGCCTAACCACCCGATCCCGTTAGTCGCCTTTTACGACAAGCATGGGTTACTGAAGACCAATTCCAACCCGGATACAATGATAACAAAATATAAAACATCTTACGTATAATCGGTTTATTTTCATAAACAGTTCTACAGAGAAGGTGCGTTAAGGAAGCATATGGACGTGGACACCAACCAAAGCCAAAACTGACAGCATATACACAGATAAATTAACAAATTGCCATGGTGATGTAAACAGAGTTATATGTCAACAAGGGTATGGACGTTGGAACGGATACAACTAGTGTGACATGTAGGGTGAGTGAGGATGAAATCAATACCGATATATTATATCGATGTACAGAAAACAAGACAACTGTAAAATATTGATTATGGATTACTACAAGTTCACACACAGAGTTTAGTAATGAGTTGAGACCCTCGATCATAATGAACGCTATTATGTGTTGGATTGATAAAAAACGATTGTTTTAGTGGGATGTATTGTAAAGCAAGGAATCAAACTGAATTGTCCTGTGAGTTTTTTTATTGTAGTTTTCACATTTTTTTTCCATCAGTAATCACCCTTTATTCATGTACATGCAGAATGTCGCGAACTTAGATAGTATCTTGTGTATCAGTAATCATCGTTTACCCACATACAGGTATGATTCTAGGACAGTGTCTTGACTATCGGTAATCGTTCTTTATCCATGTACATGTATGATTCTAGGATAGTGTCTTGTATATCAGTAATCATCGATTACCCACATACAGGTATGATTCTAGGATAGTGTCTTGACTATCGGTAATCGCTCTTTATCCATGTACATGTATGATTCTAGGATAGTGTCTTGTATATCAGTAATCATCGATTACCCACATACAGGTATGATTCTAGGATAGTGTCTTGACTATCGGTAATCGCTCTTTATCCATGTACATGTATGATTCTAGGATAGTGTCTTGTATATCAGTAATCATCGATTACCCACATACATGTATGATTCTAGGATAGTGTCTTGACTATCGGTAATCGTTCTTTATCCACGTACATGTATGATTCTAGGATAGTGTCTTGTATATCAGTAATCATCGTTTACCCACGTGCATGTATGGTGTTAGGAATACGATAGCAATAAGATAGTGTCCTAAGATAGTATCTTGTATATCAGTAATCATCGTTTACCCACGTACATGTATGGTGTTAGGAATACGATAGCAATAAGATAGTGTCCTAAGATAGTGTCTTGTATATCAGTAATCACCGTTTACCCACGTACATGTATGGTGTTAGGAATATAATAGCAATAAGATAGTGTCCTAAGATAGTGTCTTGTCAATCAGCAATCACCGTTTACCAATGTACATATATTCTGTTGGGACATTGTCTTGTATATAAGTATTCAGCATGAACAGAAATTGTTTCCCATGTCTGCGGTGTGGAGGTTCCAGCTGGGATCTGAGACAGCGTCAGAGGGGTCGTAGGACTCGAGAAGTTGACACTCATCAGAAGAGGGGGAGAAGTTGAAGCCGACACAATCATACCTCCCACGACATGCATCTGCACACTGAAGTTTGGTCGAGTTCATCGTCAGCAGAGAGTTAACAGCTGAGACCTTGGTGGCTACCTGCTGTACAAACTTCATGTCTGGAAACAAATAGCCACGTGTCAATGCCGTTATACTATATCTATATCTAAAACAACAACATTCAGCCTCCAATATTAATCATTTGCTCACTAGCCGTTCATGTTAATTGTAAACAATGTTATTATTGATGATTGTAATAGTAAAGCATTATTAAATCGCATGCAAGCGTTATCCATGTTCGGAATCCGGGACGGTGCACAGGTCCTCGTGTCCTTGCAAAGATTAACGATTAAAAATATATTTTTTGAGATGACCCCCGACTCGAAATGCTACACAGTATAAGACATCATCTCAAATGTTATATGTTTTTTAAACATCTTTAATCCTCGCAAAGACACGAGGCCTGTGGGACGGTAGGGTAGCCTGGAGGTTAAAGAGTCAGCTTGTCAAGCCGAAGATCCAGGTTCAATGCCCCACATAGGTAAACTATATGAAGCCAATTTCTGTACGCCGCTGTGATATTGCTGGAATATTACTAAAAGCAGCGTAAAGTCTTACTCGCTCACTCACCCACTCGAAATGCCATCGGGTTTCCTGTTTCCACTTACCATGTTAATGTACGTGTAATATGTATGAGAATAATTACAAATAACAAATTGAAACCGGAGATTAATATTTGAAATAGAGTTGTCAGAAAGCTTACTCTTAGCGGGCCCCATGACTTCAACTTCACACAGCGCCAGCATATCTTCGGAGATGAACCATGGTATCTGTATCCTGAGGTAGCGTCCCGTCAACGGCTCCTCACAGGGTACAGTCAGGGTGGCACTGCTGGCTACACTTCCGTTATAGTGACGACAAACGTCGCGGAACTCCATGGTGACGTCGTCGGAGATGAGGATGTCAAAGTCGTGGAGACGTTCACCTTTCAACAGAGTAAATGACCGAAGGATTTTGGTCTAACGCTGATTGTCGGCATTTGAAATAGTCGTGCAGATGCGTTCAGGGAAATCACAAATACAGCCACACAAAAGACGATAGCTCACAGGTTAAGGTGTCTGTATTTGAACTTTTCAGGGCTGGGTTCAGGTTCTATTCAGTCCTCGTTACAATGCATAATGCCGATTATGTACCC